ATTATGTATTAAAATCTCTGACTTTTCTTTGAAAATGCAGCCAGTGGCGTTCCTGTAACTGTAAATCTGTTTTTTCATTTTTTTTTTCCTAAAGCCCTCTAAGCTTGTGGCTTTCATGGCATCTACAATGGCAAATAAATATGAAAAGTTCTACTGTGAAATATTTATTTCATTTTATCTCATTTAAACATATTTATCAGGTTTTTTACTGGAAACCTTATATATGGTATGAAAACTTGCCTTTTGGAATAGAAACTATCTAAGGAGTCATGCTGTCATGCTTAACTTCTGAATAAAGCATGACTGCAGCATAAACTGATTTAGGAAAGGAGGGTTTGGCTTGCTTTCTAAAAATGCTGTCCAAAGCCAAAGAGGTTAACACTTAGGAGATTTGCTTAAAAGGCTTCTTCCACTTCTTCCAGTAATCTTGCTTGCTTTTTCACTGAGTGGTTTTTAATGCTTCTCAGGATAAATCTGATTGTGCCAGAACTTGTGCAATGCTTCCATACACCAACAGTAATTGTTTGTAACCTTTTTGGTTGGTGAGGACTTTCCGTTTGTGTGAGGATGGCAGGGGCATTTGCAGGAGCCCGAGCAGCGCTGGGCACCCCAGCCCTGCCCAGGGCTGCCCACAGAGGGGGCACAGCAGAACAGAGCTCACCCTGTTCTGCAGGGGGTTCAGCATCTCAGAGAGCCTGCTTGCTTTCTCTTCAGGTGTCAATTTACCTTCTCTAACGTTGACTGAAAAAGCTCTGCTATTCCTGACCACGTTTATTTGTAACAACTGCTCTTAGCATGAACATAATTGAATTTTCTTTTCACACGTCGCTGTTGGCGTTCTCCTGTGTGCTCGGTTTTGTTTTCAATTTTAATACTTTTGATTGATATTTTTGTCTCTTTTCATATACTGCTGCTTATAACTCTTGCACATATGTCTGAATCAGCTACAGATGAGCTGCAAATACCAGATGTGATGACATAGGAAGCTGCATGAGAGCACAGAGAACCCAATTCAGAGTCTGAACATGTAATTAAGATATAGTTTTAGTGCTGAAATAGACTTGCATTTTTATGCCTTTCAACTGCCATCATACTATTATTTCTCAACATGAAGGAAGGCCTACAGGGTTTTTAAATTGTACTGGTTAAATGAAAAAAATAAGTCCCAGTGATGTAATAGCTATTTTTTTGCCTAATTTATTTTTATCTGTTTCTTAACTGCTTTAATTTAAAAGGATTTTTTGTAATTTTTCTGTGTTGAAGTTGATTTTTTTTTCCAAAATAGTTCTGGCATAAGTAGCATAAGTAGTTTCTATTAGAAAGTTATCTTTTTCTACTCTTTTCTCAAGAGAGGAAAAAAAAAAGAATGAAGTAATTTCATAGCTATACTTATGCATATTGAGTTCTGGGTTTTTCTTCTTTTCCTGTCTCCCTCTTTTTAGACTCTATAGCATTTGTGTTATTAAACTCTTGAGCATGATTGCCAGAGGTTTCCAAACCAGAGATATGTGTCAAAGTGAGAGGAACTCATGTTCCCTGGCAATTCCCAAACTTGCCCTGTCAGAAGAAAATGAGTTTCTTCAGGTTTTCCTGCAGCTTGGGCCAAGTCCAAGGCAGAGCCCTGATGTGAGGCAGCAGCATCAGTGACTGCCAGCCAGCCCAGGCCAGGCTGGGAATGCAGCTCCCTGCCATGGAGAGCTCACAGGGACACACCAGGCTGCAGCCACAGAGGAGTGCACAGCTCCTCTCTCCCCTGCTCCCCAGGAACTGCAATCACATCAATTGCTGGGCAAAAGGAGCAGCAGCCCCTCAGGGCTGAGCTGCAGCTCTGCCTCCTCCCCTGTGGCAGGGCCCTGGCTGCTCCCCACAGCAGCACCTTCCATAGCCTGGAAAGCTTGGCAAACCTTCCCCCCGCAAAAACTGCCTGTTGTACTTCAGATTTCCCTTAGAATGGAAACAAGTGGTATCTCTGTGGTGGTTTTTTTGTGCTGTAGTATCGTTACTACTACATATCAGATTTCTTTTTCAACTTCTCTTTTCCCTTTATTCTTCTTCAAAATAAGCTGTTAGAGAAAGACTCTTGCAGAAATTAACTGTGCATTGCAAATCATATTACTGCTCTTCCTCTCTCCATGCCTCAAGCTCTTTGTTATTATAGTGTGAATGTGTAGGAATGAAGCAATGGTCTCTGTGACTTTTATGTGTGCAATTTCTTAAAAACACATTTACTGTCTTTAGAGCCCCCTTTGCAGAACCAAAATAGCAGAGCGATAATTGCTGCTATTTATATGATATTGTTAATAAGGGATTCATTCCTATCAGTTGTCTCACTGTCTTTTGTGTTCATGGGTAATCCCGAAGAACATTGCACATTTGTACATATACCCATGTACAAAGCTGAAAAATCTTAAAACATGATATCACACATTGAACGCAGGTATGAAACTCTTCCTGCAAAAATATTGTCATAGATTGCCTACAAAGCTAATAGTCCAGAGGGGAAAATGGGTGGAGTGTGCTAAAAGCAAGTGGTGCTCCATGTGTGGGCTCCATGGTGGGAACTGTTAAAAGCCACACTTAGCTGCAATCTAGATTTGAGTTGGGATCCCACAGTGTTGCTGTTTATCTGCAGGTATTCACAGTTGTTTTCATATCTTTAGGATCAATCTCTATGCTTAAATAATTGATGACAAAAATTGCATTGCTGGATGAAAAGTATGTTTATATTGCAAAATAAAACAGTTACAGAGAGGGATGTTTAGGAAGGGCTGCAAGTGAAAATGCTCAGCATTGTTAGGCTTTGTCATCTCATGAGCTGAGCCTAGTTTTTATTGGCTCACTTTTATTGCCTGAGCATAAAATTTCACTCATGTCTTCACATCACTTAATGTATAAAAAATTTCGTGCAAAATTCATGAGCATTTCATAGAAATAGGCTGGAATAACCCATGTTTGATTTAGATTAACTTCTTTTCTTCCTGAGGTCACCACTGATCTCAATGGATGGAAATAAACCTGGTTACTGTAAGCTCATTTCATCTGAAGGCTCTACCTTCAAGGCCAAAAGACAAGCAAAAGACAGCAAAACCCCATTCTCTAGCAGTTAGCTGGGTTTCTGGTACTCTTATTTTAGATCTCCCCATTATGTCCCATAAAAATGAGATTTTTGTTTTATTTTGATTCATTATCACATAATAAGGATTTTTAAAATCAATTAGTTTCCAGAGAGCCAACCTAATTTTCAGTGAAAGGGTGTGAGTTCTCTATGGTGCATAACTGATGGAATGTGGAGTGGTGCTTATAAGTTGAACTTCAGTGAATAATTGGTGATTTACTTTTCACTATTTTAATGTGCTGATAACAAAAAAAAAAGAGGCTGTTTCTCTATGGTAGGCAGAATAGATGCAAAGAATATCAACATCAAGAACAAGAATTAGGATGCACAGATTTAAATTTGCTCTTTTGGCATGAAAAAGAGGTTAAAGTTTAATAAATTACTATGAATATTCTTCAGCCATTACATAACCAGGAAGCTGACCAAGTTCAGAAAAACCAAATTCACTAGGTATGAGTCCAGCCCACAGAACTAAAAGTTTAAACCTAAACTCAATACACCTCAAGGTCAGATTTCCTTTCTTTCCTGAGTTCAGTGTGTTGCTAAAGTCCAAGAAAGGAGCCAACATAGATGGCAGTGTCTGAGAGAATCCTGTTTTGGTGCTAAAACTGCTTCCTGTTAAAGAAGGACCATTTGCAGTTTCCTTCCTGCCATGATGTTGCTTCTGCCAAGACCAACAAATCCCCAAAGTTCACAAATCTGTCTGTTTGCTAAAGGATGGAATGGGCAATGGCTGCTTGGAAGTCTGATTGCTTAGAGCACAATTCCCCATCCTCAGAAAGAATATCCTCCTGTAGATTTTACAGTAAAATGTTGTTTTTTAAAAAGCCAAAAAAGAATGTCAGCAAAGCAGATGATTTAGCTCAAGATACTAAGGCTCTGCACAAACGCCACATTTATAATTAAAATATGAGTACTTCACTGGAAGGAGAAATGACTGTTCTGGATGATAAAACAAGAAAATATTTTGATCAAGAGTCTCCAAGCATTTTGTATTTAACTATGACAGTGTGCCTGTGGGTATCAGAAGCCAATTGGGTAAATAACAGATAAAATAATTAAATTATTTAGTGGAAGCAAGAAAAGGTCTTGTAATTTCATCTGCATGCACTGGGCAGGCTGTGAAATTTGCTGGGTCTCATCAGAAGATGTGAGTGAAGGAAGTGATGCTCCACTTCCTCTGGTGGGGACTGGGGAGGCTGAGGGAAGGTGCTGGCAGGGGTTGGTAAAGCAGGGCTTGTTCCTGAGTGCTGCCAGGGTTTTCTCCTGTGCCTGAAGTAGAAGCAAGGATTAAAATATGAAAGACTTCCCTAACAAATGAACCCTCAAAAGCTTCAAAATCTCCAGCCACAGTGGGCTGAGTAAATAATAATAATAATGAAAAGATGCCCAGCTTTTTGTCCCACTTTCTTGAGCCAGATCTGTAGCTCCAGTGTTGAGTTGGGCAGATCTAGTGGAGCATTATTTATGACACAGCACATACCTCTGGATATATGAAATCGTTATCTGAGTCACCCTCTGGATATTACAAGTGATGCTTTAATCTCTGCTTCCCTGTTTTTCATGGTGTTAAATCCAGTGAGATACTCCTATGCCCCAGATGTTTTTGATCCATCTTTGTGTAACTGCTTATGGAAGTGGTAACTGAAAATTATTTTTTTCTTTGAAGAGAAAGCACAATTCCTTTTTCAGCCTTCCAAAGAAACATGAATATTACCTCTCAGTGTAACAGTGTGGTCGGTATAGGAAAGTAAATTAATGCAAACATATTTGGTCTAGTAAATTTGTAGTTCTGCTGTTCCTACAATTGGACTGTATCAAACCTGTGAATGCATCGGCAGGCATGTTGTGTTTCCATTTTTCCAATTGCAGTGTTTCTTTCCAGGCCAGAGCACAATGAACTACAGGGAGTCTCATGGTGAGAGACAGATCTTGCACCAGCACAGAGTTACAGCCATTTCTATGGAAATTGAAGGTTTGAAGCCTGGGAGAAAGCAGCAACAAATTTCCCATCAAACAAGAAGATGGCTCAAAGATAACAGCCCAGAGCAAAGCTTCAGGTGATGTTCCCTTTGGATCCCTCTCTGTGTGCAGAGGACACAGGACCAGGTCAGTTTGCTCTTATGCTTCACCTTTCTGGGGAGTTGTTGCCTGGTGCCTTGGCACACCTGTGGCCACGCTTGTTCTGCAGGGACCTAACCAGGAGATATTTATTCTTTGAGTGTCATATTTGCAGAGTCTCACTTTGCAGTTTTGCAACTGCAAGCAGAGCTAGCTCACAGTCTAATGTTTCCTCTGGGATCAAAGAACTGTGCAGCTTCAAGAAATGCTGGGAGCTGTAGACTCAGAGATGTGATGGTGGGTCTGCTGCCAATTATATCCTCCTAGCTTCACTATATCAAATCAATTAGATCTGATTTAATCCCACAGGAGACTAACAACTCCCAGCATCAGGGAAGGCTTTCTCAGTCTGTGTTTTGGGAAGGAATTTTGTTCATTGTATGTTTATTTAATTTTTATTTTTTGACAATGTCCAGTCAGTTCCTCAAATGTTTTTGTGAGAGAGAGAGAGAAGGGAAGGAGAAAATTCATGAAAGAAACAGAAAATCAAATGTAGGAACATTTGTATTCTCAGTTTTTACTTGCGTGTTTGTGCACCTCTCTAGCAGCTGAGTGATCATTTTCCCAGTCCTCTGGGGATTTAGAAGTTGGGTTTGGAGTATTTTTTCATTTCTGCAAGAAGGTCTGAAGATATTAAATAACTTTGCACTCCCTGAAATTCAGGAAAGAAAATTAACTGTTACTGCGCCAGACTTGCAGAAGAGTGTGACTGGATAAATAACTCAGGATAATGAGGCTTGTTTGAGCTCTAGGAAACTTTAATGCAACAGGATGGACTACAACTCTTGCAGCTTAGCTGAGTGGATTTTGAAGTTGGATTGTTCATGCTTTCCAAATGAATGTCCAAATGATGTGCATAAAAATTTGTGATGAGCTACCTTTGTATGTCCTGGGACTTGAATTTCATGAAGGTGTTCAGCTACAAGATCTCCATCCACTTGTAGCTTCAGGCATGTCAGTATTGCTTAAGTGAGCAATAACCATTTAAGCATGGAGTAAAAACATGGTTGATGAACCAGAAATAAGAATAATTTATGCAGAAAAACCTCTTTCTGCACTTTTCACATAAATAATCAAATACTGCAAAAGCACTGAAGAAAACCAGGATCATGTTTTCTCAGGTGACCAAAAAATTGAAATTTCCAGACACTGGGTGTTTAGGAAAAAAATTCAATGACCACTTCTGCTGGGACTGGTCTTGGAGCTGGTTAACCCTTTTCCCTCAGATAGTCTCTCACATTCTGAGGTGGGAAAAATTTGGCACTGCTGAAAAGAGATTCTGTGGCTTGAAAATGGAAAGAAAATGGATTAACAAAGTGCACCTAACAGTAAGTCAGAGCAGTCAGCCAGGTAGGCTGGAGATGCTAGGAGGTAAAGTTCTTATCTATTTGTTCAGGAAATGGGTGTTCTCTGCCTCATTTCCAAGTGGTCCTCTGCCTCTGCTGGTTATTCCCTGGTGCTGTGTGTGCCAAGGTAGAAGGAAAATAAAATTCTAGTGCAGTGAGGAAAACAGTAAGCACATCTCAACTCACCAGTACATTACTGTACTCCAGGCACTCATCTGAGAATACAAAATAGGCACAGAATGTCCTCACATCATTCAGGGATGTAAATGCCAGCAGGCAGGAAGGGGAAAGGTGAATTTGGTGAACAACCACGGTCAGTACTTAAGGAATTCTGGAGGCTGCAGCAAATAAAGGATTTCCTAACAAGAAATGAGGAAGACATCCTCTTCCAGTGAGTGTAAAAGTGTTTGGTTGTGCACTTTGAGCTTATTCAAGTAAAAATACTTAGCTTTTTAAATAAAATACATCCACAGCAGCCCTTTCAACTCTGTCCTCCGCTGTGGTGCTGAATCAGACACTGCAATGCACACATTGCATGAGCATGAGCAGTCCAATGTCCAGCCACACTCTGCTAAGCTCTGTCACCTGGAGTATGAGGTGTAGCTTTAAAATTGTTCCTGGGCATCAGCTTGCTCTCGCTACCAAGGTGTGGTCATTCTTACCCACAATGCAAACTGATAGCAAGGGCTCTCTTGTCTCTTGTTTTCACAAGCACTTGAATCTTTACTGAAGTTAATGGAGAACCTGAACATGATCAAAACAGAGATCAATGTGACTTGTTACTTTTCCATAAACTGAATTTTCACAGCACACAATCATTGAGGAATGAGTAGCTCAATTCTAAAATAAGCCAAATTTTTAGGGCATCTGTAGTTCAGAAGAAAACAGCTGTGTAGAAATTAATTTAATACTGCCTCTGGTAAAGCTTCACTTTTTCAGTTATCTAAACTTCTTACCACTTATGGCCACATTCTGATGAGGGATATTAATGTGCCGTAGCTGCAGTTGCTACAAAACATTAGAATTGCTTCTTCCTCCAGTCCCTTATTAAAAAAAAAAGGGTTAAGCATAGGGGACTACACCCAAACAATAGGATTGTGCAGAGTAAGGGACTCTTAAGTAAATACGGTTTGCCTCAAATGCATGGAGAAATATAGAACACAACCCTTACTAAGTTTCTCTTGAGGCAAATGAATGCACCCTCAATCCACTATCAATGAATGCAAAAGGGAGTGGATTACACACACTCATTAACCTGCTCTGGGGATCCATAAATACAGGTCTGAATGTTGGCAGGCAAAAAATGCCTTGCCCTGTGACTCAAGGTCAGAGTGAGCTCAGTCTATGTCTGGTTGCTCAAAAGATGATGTCAGGTTAGATTTGCGCTGGTGGGCTTGATGTTGGCCAGCTCCTTTTCCCTGTCAGAGCTCTCTGAAAGCCAACACGAACCCAGCAGTCTGGAGAGCTGGATGTCAGCGTGCTCACAGACCTAGGCCTGGCTGGATCAGGGAAAAGCCTCTGTGTGACCTTGGGATGTACTCAGGAGGTACTCTTGGGAGGAAGCAGGGCCTTGAGAGTCTGAAAATGGTTGAAAACCCAGTGTATTTAGTTCTTGTTCCATAAGTTCAGACAGAAGGTGTGAATGTGCAGCAGTTTCAAAACCTGTCTTGTTTTCTGCTGAGAAGCCTGGATCACAATGCAGCGCTTTTGTACTTGTGAAAATTCACCTGCATCTAAAACTTAGCAAAAAAGGTAGAAGGGAGGGAAAGAATATGGGAAAAGCATGGAAAGATGGTGCAATCCCCCTGGAAGAAAATGTCCCTGAAATTATGTTTAATTTAGTTTAGGATTCTAAGAGGCATTATACAACTTCTGGAGCTGAAGTGCACAATCTTTCAAGGTTGATTTAACTGTATGGTTATAATCTAGCTGCTTTAAAAACTTGTACTCAGACGCACAAGAAATATATAAGTTCTGATTTCATCATTTTTTTAAAAGGTACATTCACTGGCTCTTGGGCAGATGCAAGAAGTTTCTTAGAGTGTTTCATCTCTCATTTTGTTATGCTTAAATACCTTTCAGCTTTGATGACTGGCTTGACCTAAATTGACATCTGAAAAAGAAGCTCCATATCAGTGCATAAATCTGTGATAATCACCACATCATTACACAGTAGCACCTTTTGAAGAAGGAATTGTGAAGCTGCTTGGTATTCAAAACCCAGCAGAAAGCTATTAACCCTTGTTTTTATAAACAGATTTAAAGCACTACTTGTAAGATATAAAACCAACAAGCTAAAGTAAAACTGAGCTGTTTGAGATGGGATTTTGATGTACATTTTGTTAGAGGTCTGGTATCCTGAAGTGCAGATAAAGGAATGTAAGTTTGTGATGAAAATTTTTTCTGGCATGGTGAAGACTTGATTCTTAAATCAGAAAGCTCTGAGCTGTTCTGCTCTTTTTCTAGATAGGTATCTCTGTCAGGAAATAGGGAGAGTAGCGTTGCTCTGAATTTATGGGGAAATGATGTTAACATCCATATGTGAAAGGCAACCAAGGGCTCTTGGGAAAAGACACCCCAGTTCCTAATGTATTATTGTCTGGAAGGGGCTTTCTGTCATTACAGGGTGTGTAGCAAGTATTTACAACCCCTGGAAACTATTATAAACTTAGACATTCAAGATGAAATTTATTTTTAAGTTTTTACTCGTTATTGTCCTTTTCTATCCCCCCAACTGTTTCTTTGAGGGTGTTCTCTCATTTCTTTAAAATAACATTAATCAGGCACAGAAATAAGCCAACTCTGGGATCTTTATTAGGAATTTTATCATGCACTAATTGTTTGAAATCACAAGATCTCAGAACATTCCTCCAGTGATCTACTAATGTGCATCTTGCTGTGAATGTGGAAGCTCTTACTTCAGAACTGTGTGAGTTCCTTCCCTTTTTGGGCAGGTGTCTAAGTTTTTCTCTCTCATTTGTGTAGAAAGCTGTGAGAAATACACATCACAATGCATATATAGGCATATTATAGGATATCTCAGGTTGGAAGGGACCCACAGGGACCATCAAGTCCAACTCCCTATTCATCACAGGTTTGAGACGTGAAGAACTTGGGCTGAACCTTTTTCGTACATCACAGGTGAAACCTGCTGGGAAATGTCTTGCAGGGGCATGGGGTGGTTTTGTGTGCATGTATGAGCTCACATCATACCATCACCATCGTTTTCTTATCCCTAAATTGCAGTCCTTGTCTTAATTTTCATTGCATTTCCAAGTAACATGATATCCCACATTGCACTGGAGCATGGTCTAGTCCAGATGAGGCAGAGCTTGTTTCCAGCTTGGAGGCAGCGAGTGCCACGAGCTGAGCTAGAGCAGAACCGCGCCGGCCGCTCACTCACCGACTGCCTTCAGAGACGCGTACTTGTTCAGCTCCTTGCCCGGGGGCTGCTGCTCGTACGGGTTTGTGATCTGTCCCAGGCTGGGATAGGAATGTTGATGTGCCATCTGAGGAAGGAGGGGAGATGTTGGCATGACATTATTCATCTGTGGCGGATCTGTATTAAAGAAAATTAACAAGCATTAAGTAAGGAGTGAATTAGAGTTAAGGTTTTCAACGTCATTTTTGAGTATGGATTAG